GCTCAGGCTGGTCTTGAACTCCTGAGCTCAAGCAATCCTCCCACCTCGGCCTCCCAGAGTGCTAGGATTACAGGCGTGAGCCACCGCGCCCGGCCGCATTATCTTTTAGTTAGGTATTTTAGTGCTTTTTTATCAAGTTGAGTGTCTGTAACCTATTAATAAAGGTTTCTTTTATGGAAATTACTAACTTTAAGTATTTTTATCCCTTTAAATCTATACCAGTCCGCATAAAATTACATAACCAATACAATTTTTAATATACCTTTACAGAACACAAATGCCAATTTGAACATGAGAAAAAGAACAAATGCTTTGGTTCACTCTGAATCTGATGTTGGCAACAGACTTGAGATGGGAAACCATTTGAGCAAATCTTCCACGGTTGTTCAAGAATCTTCTGAAGCCACAACTCGATCTTACTTAGCTTCCAGCCCGAACCCATTCAGCCGCGCAAACGCAGCCGAAACTATCTCTGCTGCAAGAGCACTTCCACCTGCTTCTCCTGCTGCTTCTAGTCAAACTGGCTGTGGGTCCCGACAAGCTGCAGGTGGGTCTGCTTCCACTCAGCGTTTGTTTGGATCAAGACTGGAGAGGATTAAGACCACAGTGAACACCATAGGGGCTTCTGGAAAGTCACCAGCTGCTCCTCCTCCCTCCGCTCCGCCACCTTCTGGATCTGGTACAAGTAAAATAGACAAATATGCCCGTATTCTCTTTCCAGTCACATTTGGGGCATTTAACATGGTCTATTGGGTTGTTTATTTATCTAAGGACACAATGGAGAAATCAGAAAGCCTAATGTAGTTTTGTTTCTATAGTAGTTTGCTAAAAGATGATGAAAATGCAGACTGTCTTTTTAAATGTTTTTAAATATAATTATTCTTTACTAAAATAAAAACTCTATGTAATTTTTCCATTTAAAAAATACAAGCCAGTTATTGGGAGAGTTAATTGCTTCCTCAGTAAAGAAAAAGTGAACCATCTTTCTTCTTAGATGATTTTTAAAAGAATTCAGCATTCAAATCAGACAGAATACAGACCATCTTGGAAAGTTGGGACAAGGGAAATAGGGCTATCAGAGATACATGGTGCATATTTTTGCATTGAAATTTGAAAACAGACTATGACATTTTAAAAAATACCCTATGAATATCAACTGGCCACCCTAAATTCCCCAGCGGCACTGCCCTTAACCAGAATTGTTTCTCGGATATCATACGCAGTGACCTTTGGAGACCCTCTTAGCACCTGCGAAAAAAAGGAATTTCCGCATTAAACAAAACGTCAGTAAAAGGAAAATGGAACAAAACAAACACTGATCAATAGAGAGAAACCTCTGCTACACCAAAAACAGAGACATAGACCAGAGAAAACGTGTCCCCTTTCGTATGTTGGCCAAACAGTACTAAACAGTTGACTTGAAATTTTATGCTTTGAGCCAAAGTTTAACTCATTGTATGGATTCTTTTTCATGGCAGTTCCTTTGGTTATGTATTCATTCACCGCATAGTTATTCGGAGCCTATTGTGTCCCAGCCACCATGCTAGACACTGTCTTTCTGGGAAAGCTCTTTCACCTTTACCTACAATATTACTTAAAAAGTAGAACGGTCAATGCATGCCAAAGAACCATAAACTAGCAGAGGACATTGCATTCTTTAGAGAAGGACGTTTATTGTGACACCATATTCAAAATAATTGTTTCTCCTATATTGATAGAAGATAACAAGTATATTTGTCCACATATCCACTTTGAGATAAATACATGTTAGTACAACTTCGGCAATTGGTTTTCAAAACACCACGAGAGCGTGGTACAGATTGTTCTGGAAGTGGCAAGCGTTGTGCGCCTGAAAGTAAAAACCTGGGCATTATGAGACTTCATAGATGACCTGTCTCAAGCTTGATCAGAATCATCAGGAATAGGAACTCAATATAGGCCTTTTAGGTGCTTTTCCTAACAGAGATCTCTATATTAGCTGGTGAAACGCTAACCTTCTTGACAGTTTTGTGTCCATGTTTTGTATTTCTGGGCAGTTTTTGTGTTTGTTTTCTGAAAGTTTTGTTAAAGTTTCATAATCGGGGTGAGTACTTTAAAATTAAAGGAGCAGCAAAGGCAAGGAATGAAGGAAAAAAATCATAGACGTGGGCTAGGATGCCACTGACTCTGTTAGGCAATTTACCAGGATTTTCATGTGCTGACTTCTTTTTCATTAGGAAGGCTTAATCACTTAATGGAATTTCTTGCACCTGTCTTATACGGCTCAATCCAGGTCTGTTTTTTTGTCGTGTCCCTTCCAGATTTTTCCTCTGTACTTTTCTCTACCTGCTCTTTAGGCGTGTGGATGAATGTGTTCTGCGTGACCATTTTGATAGAAACGGACACTTTGTAGACAGGATCTCTTATTTTTTTAGAAAAGAAATGATGTTGATTAATTGGCATCGATTTTTCGGTTATTGCATAGCCTTGTAATGGTTGTATATGAGACCTGTAAAATGTACAAATGTCAAATATTAATTGTGAGCCCTGAGAATCCCTTCCTGGCTATCTCTCCAGGTATTTCACAGAATCAACACATTTTAAGGCTGAAAAATACTGTAGAAATCACCCAGTCCGCACCCCTCATTTACAAATTGATTCCAGTAAAATGAGGCCCAATAAAATCTGTATATATGTATATATTTAATAAAGAGTTCTTGTACAAAAAAGTTTATCATAAATTATTTCATGAATGTGAATAGATTTCTGGCTTTGAGAACAATGCTTAGAATTGCAGTTGGAAGCTATGATAGTTCATTATTTTGATGAAAAGACTTAGTTCTTTGGTGAGGAACACTTAATCTTTGCTTATCTATTGGCCTAATCTCAATAAATATTTCACTGGCTTTTTTTAAAAAATATTTTTCTCCTATAGATTTTACAGGCTTGAAATGGATAAAAATAAATGATTCTAGATTTATAGACCAGAGATCCAGGTGAACTCATAGTGTTTTTTCTTACCTTTGCATATGAAGATTTAAATAAATCAAGTGGCTGAACAAATAGAAAGGACAAAATTAACCAAAGGCTTTTTAATTGTTAATTTGAAGAATAATCTACTTAGAAAGTCTAATTATTAGTACAAAATAAATTATTTCATTTGCAC